CTGAGGCCTGGAGTTCTTTAGGTGTATTTCTGGGTTCTTTTGTGGCCTACATGTGATGTGGATGAGCTCTTGAAGAAACTTTGATAGACCAGTCACTACTAGGAAGGTTCACCACTGTTCCATTCTTTTTAATTCCTGGATAACAGATCTCACAGTGAATCACTGGAGTACCAACATTTTAGAAATGGCTTTGTAACAGCTCCAGCAGTAATCAAACTGTTTGTTTGATGATCTGAAAGATGCAAGTATGACAAATATGCAAAAACATAAGAGATCAGGAAAATGATCATTTTTCAGAGCACTGTATGTTCATGCCATCACCTATGGTGATCTGTGGATAGTGACAGAAATGATAAGATCACAGATACAAACACCAGAAATGAGCTTCCTTTGAAGGCTGGCTGGGCTCTGTCATTTGGGAGGGGCTCGGAAAAGAGCCGCCACTCAGCATCTACAGGAGCCAGTTGAGGTGGTTTGGGCAGGATGTTTCTTCTTAGCTGTGGTGTTCTGGGCATGTCCCTGGGGCAGACCTACATGTATGACAAGTTGGATTGAACACCTTGGTGTCCTCCTGGAAGAGGTGGAGGAGGTGGTTGGTAAGAGGGTGGTCCTGGAGTCTCTGCTCTTACTGTTGCTCCATGACCCAGATCCAGATATCCGGCACAGGATGGATGAATGAATGGATCGAAATTATTGGAGAAGAAGAAGGAAGAAGCCTTACTATTTACAAAAAATTTAAAAAAATTAGCAAGCACAGAGGTACAGCAGTGAATCTTTTCATCTGTCTTCTGGTGCTGTGCAGTATGGTGCATAGCAACGTGGTTTGCACACTGTTGACACATTCAACTTAAAATGAATCACATCCTACACTTATCAACCAAGTCACGCATAGACATATTTTCATTCACTAAATGACGTGCCTGTCCTCCTAATTGTCTTAAAATGGTGATCATTTTTAATTATTTAAATTGGCCTAATTATAATAATTATATATTGAAACATTCCATAATTGTTGGTAATTATAACACAGTTTGTCAAGAAAAATGAAATTTTTCTCTCTTATAAGTCACAGCATCCCAAAATAACCTCAAAACAAACGAAAAACATTGATATTTGATCGGCATTCAATTGAGGTAATACTTTTATTAGATAAGCAAGATGAATAAATAAGAATGTTTAATTCATTGATGACGACGCCAGAGGACAATGCCAAGATTACCCAGCAAACACTGACACTAGCCATAAGAAGTGAGCCAGCTCTGGGTCATATTGAATACAATATTAAAATCCATTTTCTTCATTCTAAGAATTACACAGTAGTACTATCCAATAAATGCTCATTGACAATCACAATACGTGAGCCACAGTCTCAAGTCATCACATCCAGTTTCAAAACAACAAGATGGCGACGGTCATGACGCGATGGACAGGGTGTAATCGTTGCTGTTTTGCCAGAGCTGCTGATGTCGTAGATAAGAACAAGATGTCCTTTGGATTCAGTGCCACGGTGACACATCTGTGTTGGTGACACACTGGTTCATTCCCAACTCCTCACACACAGACAGGACCCCTTGGCATTGGGAAACCGGACTTGAACCGAATTCTCCAGGATGACGACACCTTACGCCACCGCCACCTGCCTACTTATTCACATGCTCTTTAGAACAGGTATTATCAGCATTTATCATAACTCCCAATAATGTTTATAGATCCACTACTCAACACTTATTGACCAAATACAAAGTTATAAACATAAGCTGATGGTTATTATAAAGTATTACAGAAAACTCTTATATGGGGAATTGTGCAAATATTCTCCAGCCACCAAAATCTTGTAGTGCTGAGACCTAAAAGCTGAAGTACAGAGATACAAACAGTAATTTGACGTGTCAAAAAAAGCTGAGATGATGAGCTGTCCTGTGTGCTGCCTGTGTCTTTCTGTCCTTTCTAGGTTTGGCCTCCATGATTTTCAAATAGCCTTTGTTTTAACCACTCAGTCTGCTACAAAAACAAGCTGGTCGTTATGACACTTACACAACATACAGACACAGTTCAGCATGTTTATGATTGTCATTCAATCTCTGATGCATCACCTTTCCAATCGCCATCCGTGCCGTGATGTATCAGCATAGGGTAGCTTATCTCATCGCTCGTCTGGCTGGAGCATCTGCTCCGGCATCTGTTGTTAGTGGCGGACATTTCATCGCCACCACTTACCATAAAGCACCCCGACTAATCTCAGTAATGTCTGGATATTCAGAGGATAGTCAGATGACGAGATTAATGAATTGCAGCCGTGCTGATGATCAGAACTGTCAGACAGCTATAAAGAGACTGTTAGAGCTGCACCTGATACCTCCCGTCAGCAGCAGTGTTAGTGAGAGTGGGCTGATATTAGAGGTGTAGTGGAAGAATTTCAACAAGCCTCGTGCGGTTGACTCATGATTGGATTCACGTGCCATTTGAAAAACACCTCGCGAGCAGTTAGCAAGAATACAGGAAAACTGAGGCTGTCATATTCCAATGTCAAAATCTTTTTATACATTTTTCTCTCTGTAATTATAAAAGTCTGTTCCGTGCTCACTTCAGCTCTCACTTCCTGTGTGTATGTGTGAGAATCTTGTGGATTTATTCTCTATAATCTTTTAATGACATGCACTAACGACGCGTTGAGGCTCAGAGAAAGCCCAGTCCATGGAACACACACACACACACACACACTGTGACTAAGGCTCGGTGGAAGGCCGTGGCCCCTGAGAGGATCCACTGGGAGATTAGCCAAATCAGGAAAGAGTTTTAGAGAACGGCTGCTTTAATGCAGCACAGCACAGATTGTGTGTATATATATATATATATATGAGTGTTTGTGTGTGTGTTTGTCACAAAAAGAAAACACAGTACATATCCTCAACCTCCAAAAATATTTCTTTGCAACTTTCCTGGACTGAGCTTCTTTGTTTCACTGCAGTCATCAGGTTTGGAGCAGACGCTCAGCTCTGTTTAACATCAGCATCGACTTGCATGCTTGCAGGACACACACTTCTATCCTCTCACAGCGTACTCTACTTTTTTAAAATTGTTCTACAAACTTATATGACCATCATCTTAATATAATACTTTAAAAAGTTGTGACAGTAGAATTTCTTGTTTTCCTATGAGTAATTTTTGTTATAAGATAATACAACAGTAAAATAATGACAGAAAATACACCCACACATATACAGCACACAGTGAATTTGACCAAGTATGTACACTTGTTACTGTAATCATCTGGTCGGCAATCCATTGTGATTGGAAAGTGTTGATATGTCCTAATAGTTGCATCGGTTCTCTGTGCACTGATATCAGGAAACATGTCCTGATATATTTATTTATTGAGCTGTGACCAACTTGGAGAAGTCAGGAGGATGTGCAAATCCAGGTCTTGAACATATAGGAGACTTTTATGAATGGTTCTGTGCTGTCATACAACCTGATATCTTGGCAAAAGGTGTAATAGACATGCCAGCCCACCCTTCTTTGGCCAAACATAAAATGGACGTACATGCAGAAATTACATTACCAACAGGGGGATGAAGTACACTCCAGGGTCCTTAATCAATGAAGCTATGTCGCGAATATGTATTTACATGTAATTGTGTTAATAATGTGATTATTTTCATGTTGACTTGAAATAAAATATCTCCCTGCTGTTATTCTGCATGGACGGTGGATTGGCATGACTATTACACGTTTCGGTGCGATAGTTGTGTCAAACTGTGTCATATTTGATGTTTTTCATTGATTCAACTACAGAAATATGAGCTAATTATGTATTTTTGCAACAAGGTGTCCAAAGATTGTGGAAAACTACTGCTCAAGAATGTCATGCTCAAGCTCCTGTTGACATTGAATGGTGGCTTAAGAGATTTGCACAGTACCTCATATATAATCAGTAAACATGAGGCAATAATTTTAAGTAAAATGTTACTGAAGCTTATAAAATCAGTTTATTTATTCAAAAATCGTAATCATTAAGGAAACGTGGTGTGTAAAAACTGAATGGATGTGATTCAAGTAAATATTATTTAACCAGATTCCAATAAATTTAATGTTGTACTTGCATAAATCCAAGTCTCTGTTTCGGGCATTAACATTTCTTTTTTTAATTGCATAATGTCTCGTGCTTCTGATGTATCAGAATGGTAGGTTTGTAGATAGAAGAGAAATTATACAATCATGAACTGGGTATTTGGGCTAGGATGTGCTTTCACTGCCAAAATGGAAAATACAGCAGAACAGCCAAGTTATGCTATTGTTTGAGTTGCACTCAGCTGTATCAAGATAATGTTCATAGAATAATATCACTGCCAATACTCACCTGTTGATTGAATTTCACAAAATGCCAAATAACAGAGCCACAAAATCTCAGCACTGAATTTTGTTTATGAGCACAGTTTGTTTTTTGCAGTCCGGGCTCATATGCGCTGCATACAAATATCCTTTTTCATTCCTCGCCTGCCTAAAATTTCTGCGGTAAAAACACAGCTAAATACAGAGATGAATTTTGTGTAGACCTGATGAATAAGTTGTCAGTTACAGATCACAGATGACGCCTGCGGAGAGGAGCAGTTCTGTATTTGTTGCTCCTCTTTTCTTTTTTCGTTTTGACAAAACAATTGTTAATATAAGAAGCTGTTTGTTTGCTCCAGGAAATAAACACGATGAAAATTAATGCATTATGTGAACAGCAAAGTAATTACCAGTTACTGATGATATCTCTTCAAGCCAACACAATTAACACCAGCAGTTACAAAACCACTGTTTTGCGTTTCCTGTTATTTCAGGGTTTCAGGGGGAGCTAACTTCATGCTGATGTTATCAGCACTGCTAGCAGGTCCGCGCATCCATTGAGAAACAATTCAGAGCTTTGGTATTGTGAGCTGTATTGTGAGGGTCCTGACAAGAAGCACTTGAATAATCTTCCCCCTGAGGGCTGAAGCAAACGACTGAGATTTCTCTTTTCTTTTGAAAGGTTTTATTCATTTAATATAATACTGACACATGTACTCAATAGCGGTTAACAGGCGTTTAAAAACACAGATATTAAAACCATTAGAGCATCGATTTATTTTTAGCCCCTTTGATTCCATGGACTGCTTTTTTTTTTTTTTTTGTTTAAACACGTTTACATTTTTCAATATACCGTAACATCTACTTGGTATTAGTCTAACCTCACCCCTGAAAGGATTTTGTCCTTTGTCAAAAAACAAAAGCAAAGAGAAGACTGACAAACTGTCTCTGCATTTTAAAAAATGGCATGTGTGGTAAGCAACAAACTATTTAAGGTAAAATATTCGTATGGAGGTGAAATCTGAATAAAGAAGAGGTTCAGTTTCAGAAACATTTTGACAGCATTAAATGTGTCATGTGTGGCACAGTTAAATTTAAATGTGTCATCCAGACTACATGAGGCAAGCATTCTGGATCCACTCCCTCTTTTTAGCTAGTTTTGTAATACAGAATAGCTGTCTAGAGTCAAGTTTCTGCAATTCCCAGTATGCATATGGAACACAACTTAGCCATAGAAGAGAGATAAAGAATATAGTTTGTTGTAAAGATGTTTTTTTCATCATCTAATCAAGTGCCATTTAGGTTGGAGTTCACTTTGTTTTCAGAAGCAGTAAAGAATTGTGGGTGACTGAGTCTTTTGCAGTGAAGGCCCGAGGACACTCAGCTCTGCTTAAGATGGCGAGCAGTCCTGCGTCGTCAGTCATCGTTTTTTGAATGTCCACAGGAAAAATCACTGGTTCCTCACTGATGTCCATCAGAGTCCATTTCCTTACGATTTTATAAGTCCGTTGTGCTGTGTAAGTACTTCCACCGCCGTTCTCTAACGCTCCTCTAGAGATGGGCGGGACTATCGGGTCACCTGTAAAAGAAAGGGAAGAAGTGAGTCAAAGGTCACCATTTTAACAGAACCCAAAAAGTTTGAAAACAGCCTGAAACAGCAAAGAGAACAGAGAACAGAGCCAGCGCTGGTTTTACACGTCAGTGAAAGGCTTTAAATAATGCAGTGCTGGCTTCTATGTGGAAAAATACAGGAAGAGTCTCTTATTGGTGGAAAACATGACCAACACGGTTTCTGTCTCTTCTGGAACGTAAACAAGACAAGCTTGAATCGTGGCAGGCAGCCCACACTGCCGCACTCTCAGCACTTGGCCCTCTGCCATGTCATTTCGTCTATTTGTCGAGACGGCTGCACTAATCACATGGCCTCCTTATCTCGGCGATCCATCTTCGCTTTTTCTTTGCTCATACGCTCACTTTTGGTTTATTTCAAGCTATTAGAAGACATTTTCTACCAGCCAGTGATCAAACAGGCACAAACTGCTGTATAACTGCCAGTGCCGGGCATATAATAGACCAGCCTCTCCAAGACGGTTCTTCTGTTTTCCTGCATGCCTTTCCCTCCTATTGAGTTTCCCAGTGGTTTCCCCTCTTAGCCCCAACACATGCTGTCTCTCTGTTATTTCCTCATGGGGCAGACACTCTTTTGTCTGACCTGGGTCCCAGCTAACAAAGTGCGAATACCAGCCATCACTAAGAGAGCTCAGAGCAGTGTTTCTTCCAAGCTGGCAATTGAAACTACTGCATCTACTCTTGATGGCTCCAGGCCACCCTTCCTGGGTTTGCTCCCATTGCCTTCAGGCGTCTACTCCTGTGCCGGATCAAAGAGTCTGCAGGCGTTTGTTGTCACGCCAGTTCGCTATGCACGCACACCGCGGCATCTCTCTGCCTGCTATACTTGAAGGTGCAAAGTCAAAGTCCCTTTAGGTGTTCATCCAGTTGCCTGTTCAAATATGCCTGTAGGTTGCAGTTTCTGTGCCCAATTAAAGGGCGGATTTAGATCGTTAGATCTCAATTTAGAAAGCACACAAGAAGTGCTAGGGTGTCATTTCTACAAGCCTTTTTAGACCCACGAGTGCCTTTTTTGTACTTAGTCCAAAGATTTAGCTGCCTATCCTAGTCGCATGGCCACAAGGCAGATGTCTCCTTCAGCGGTACATTTATTTACATTTGACACCAAGTCACAGAAGCTGTGTAACATGTGATTTAGTTTGTGTGCGAATTGAACAAAATCAACTTCAAATCAAACTGAAACAAATTTAATTAAAATATTCTGGTTTTTCTTTCATTAATGTCTCCTTGTACATAACAAAACCAACAGACGGGTGTTACAAGGCAGTGTCACCCACACTTGGGACAGACAGAAAAGCAAAAGCTTACATTTTCTGAATTATATTACAAGGTAAAAGTCTTCTTTCATTTCTAAGGTTATTATTTTTAAACACAAATAACCATATTAAATCGCTGGCTGCTGGATTAATTACCTCCGTCAAGAAGGTTATATTTGTGTGTTTGTGTGTGTACTGTGTGGGTGCCATTCTGTCTGCAAACACAATTGTCTGAAAAGTTTTGAATGAAATCTAATAAAACTTTGTAGGGGTGTAGAGTGAGGTCATGTTAACAATCAATTTAAATTCGGCTTACATCGACCAAGGTCTTCAAGGTCAGCTCAATGATTTATAGGTCAAAAACTGACGAAAGCCGTATAACCTAGAAGCTATTATATAAATATTTAAACTATTACTTTTCTACAACTTTCTTTTATGGTAAATATCTTGTTCGTAATATTGTTATACAGAGCTACTAAAAAATATGCTTGTTGCACTGACAACATATGCAGGAAATGAAATACGGGGTTTATAAATATCACATTACTCTGCCTCTAACTCAAGGTCGCATAAGGTCAAACTTTCATAAAATATATTTTATTTTTAAAACTGTGATTAAAATTCTTCTGCCTTTGTTCATTGTATTACATTACAGATGCATCCAAATATAATTTTACATTTGACCTCTGATCTCACTTTTACATTTCAAATCTGCCTTTCTTCCAAGTTGACCCCCAAGATGTGTTATATCTTTAAATAAAGTATTGTCAAGAGAATGAGCTGCCTAGTGAGTCAGATTTATCCTGCACAATATACTTTTATATAATAAGTTCAAGTTATCCATGTCCAATTATTTACAAATCAATACCTATTATCAATCACCTACTCCCACATAATGTTCGTGTAATCAGAGTAAACATCTGATTTTTGCTTCACTGCAAACTTCCTGAATAACCTTTTAAAAATAACAAAGAAAAGAAAACAAATATATACAAAAAAAAAGTAAATACTGCCCTTGCTTAAATATAAGTTAGCATGCAAGCTTTAGTTAGCTTGCAGACAGTTAACGTACCATTACTAATGTTTATGTTTCAGTTTTGTTTTGTGACATCTTGACTGCCACACTTGGTCGCTTATCAAAGTTTAAAGTGACTGAATGTCTTTTTTAAAGAACACCACATCTACTCGGTATGATGTACACTCACTGCAGTATATAGGTAGGTAAACCCTATACTCACTGCTAAATTGTTGTCCTTGTTTGTTCACGATTGCACGAGCAGTTACACAAAGATGAACACACCTTCCTTGCATTCTACGGCAGCTCTGCAGCTTGGAGACTGAGCCATGCCCATGTATTCATACATATGATATTATTTGGCATTGATCTAGCTGTCTTCTCACCCCTCCTCCTCTCCTCCCTCTTCCCTCCTTCGCTCCTCCTTCCCCCTGTCTCCAGGTAGGAGGAATGACAGAGAGTGCCAAATCCTGTTGTGTGTTCTTACCTTCTGCTGTCTGCTGACCGTTATGCTTGTTTTTTTTCCCCAAGTGTTTTCGTTATTCGTTTATCTACCCATCACCTCTGCCTTTCTTTTCACTCTCCACTGATTTTTTTCTCTTTCATCCATCTCCTCCTGCCTCTTTTTTCCTTTCTCCATATCCCCCTGCCTCTCTCTCTCTCTCTCTCATACACACTCTATCGTCAATTTCAATTTACGAGCAGGTCTTAATGGGACCATAAGAGAACGTTCGATGCTATTGATCTGGATGCCTGCGAATCTTGACCTCAGCGTACGACACGAGAGGAGAAAAAAATCACTCTTCATCATCAAGCGAACACATCAGCTAACGCTCTCAAATAGTGCAGATGCACACACACACACATAGATCATTGATCAAAGACCTGAATGCAAGAGACAGCAAATATTTGTGCTCCTTAAAACTACAACAGAGTCACTGATGAAGCAGTGCCTGCCTGAAACTGGTTTACTTTAATTATAAATGTCCACTTTGGAGCTGGATTGGTCAGCAACACTCACACATTCACACATCTAACTGTCTTCAAATAGCATCAAACCTCATGTGCTGCTTTATCCAATCAAACCAGACGACTCTTCTTTCTATTTGTCACATTGTCTGACATAACTGAGCGAGGAAACATCAGTTACACTTATAAGAGCAGTACAACACAAATCTGTGCTTAAGATAAGAACTGAAAATGATATCAGGGAAAAAAGGTAAAAGTAAGGAGGGGCTGTTAAGGGGAAAAAAGGTCTTCAGGGGGCACGAGCCACTTAGCTAGGTGAGAGGTGAGCAGAGGAAGCAGTGCCAAAAGAATTCTTAATCATCACTATTCACTGTCTGGGAAGGCGTGAGAAGAACATGTGTGCCTCAAGCGCTTCTCACCACTCACTTTTTTCCCTCAACCACGGAGATGCACGCATCTCTCCTCTCTGACCACGCCTTCAATCAATTATTTAGGCAGAAAACAAAGGTCTGCACCGAGCCATGAATAATGGAAGGTGAGAAGGCAGAGAGAAGGATGGAGGTTAGAAACAGAGGCGTACAGTGACAAGAGGTGAGTCTCGCACAAATTTTTCTCCTCTGACAGACAGCTAAGAGCCTGCTCAGGTCAAGCCACTGAAGAGAAGCCAACAGGTGCAGACGTAGGCTGAGCAGGAAGATATATAGCGTGCATTCACACCTTTTCACACGCACACAAAGACACAGACAGACTGCCAGTACATGAAACTTAACAGGGGGGAAAGAATGTGCACATGCACACACTGCACAAACCGTGCTGTGGAAGAATGAGAGCATGAAAAATTTTTTCCAGGGCATTTACCACTCCAGTGTATCAAATGTGGCGAGTTCTTTTTGCATCGAGTCAGATGGCATGCCAGTCAGACGCAGGGAAGCAGGGCAAGTGAGAGTGAAGGGAATTGTGATATTCATATTCAGGGTGCGTGTGTGTTTTATTTGCCTTGTTCTTGTTGGCCTTATTTTTCTTCAGAGAATGTTTGATGTTGGAGCCAAGATGAGTCCAGAGGAAAAGTAAAGAGAGAGAAACTGGGTAAAAAAAAAAAAGTGATATTGGGTGAAAGGAGAAAGAAGACGGGACGGAGACAAATAAGAGAGAAAAGCAGGGAGAAGAGAAGGATATAGTCTAACGTGATAGAGGTGAAAATGGATCACTCTGTGGTTGGTCTGGCTAGGTGTGTGCATGCATGTATGTGTTGAATGGATGGCACGGCAGGGAGAGAGGACGCGTAAAGTGTGCACACAAACCTTTGTGGTCTTGACTTTGTTGCCTGTGCTGCAGCTCCATCCTGTCAGATCTGGGAGCACCTTGCACTCCTCACCTTCCATGCATGGCTGCATCTGACACCACCACTTCTGAGCTACAATGGAGGCTACAAGAAGAAGAGACAGAGTTAATTTTAACTTTGATGAAGATGCAAGTGCAATCATGTCCTTTCATGTGTTTCTAAGACTTGTGTGCGTGTGTGAATTTTGACACCAAAATTTCACATGAACAAAGAGCCTCCAGAAAATAAATGTGGGTTTCAATCCGGTACAGTTATAATAACACGACTTTGGTGCTTTGAGATAAACAGTTGAAAGCACTAATTCTCAAATCAGCGCCCATTGAAGCACCATACAGAACAAGCCACAGCGAGATTATGCAATCAAAAGAGCGCCAGTCAAACCTCAACAAACAAAAACCAATGTGGAAAACATGATATGGAAAATATAAAATTATATTTCAGCTTGTTTCATTTATTAATTCTGCAAAGGCCTCTCATCGCTCGACTCAGATCTAGATGCTTTTTGCGACCACATCGTCCCAGTTCACTGAAAAACTGGTGTGGATGTTTAAATTACTCAATTCATGTATGTCATTATCAGTGATGGGAAGTAAGTAACGCCGTTAGTAATGGCGAGTAATCTAACTAATTACTATTCCTATCGTTACAACGCCATTACAGTTACTAACAGTTACTAACAAGGAAACGCGGTCCGTTACTATTTTTCAACAAACAGATGGTTGAAGCTGTGTTCAGCTCACAGCACCTTATATCAGCTGCACGGAAGTAGCTGTAAGTAATCTGGACGCTACAGCTTTAAGCAGCTGCGCGCTCCCGCGGACGGTGATCACCATCACTGTCTAGCACAACACCTGGAGCTCAGGGGGCAAACGTTTCAAGTGGGTGGGGGGGTCAGCTTCACTCTGCTCAATCACATGAGTGCTGCTGTTTGACTGAGGAAGAATAAAGTATATTTATTATTATATTTATTAAGTATGTTTATATTTAGATGTTTTATATCGGGATATGAGATTTTGGTCATATCGCACAGCCCTAACGGAAGGAGCTGTAAGTACTCTGGGCGCTACAGCGTTTAGCAGCTGCGCTCCCCCAGGCAGCAATCACTTTTTGGCACAACACCTGGAGCTAAGGGGGCAAAACAATGATATGAGTGCTGCTGTTTGGCTGAGGAAGAATAAAGTAGTCGTGGTAAGCCAATCACATGACCACTTAAACACAAAGCAACAAGGTGATATATACCAGTTTATAAATTGTGTTGATAGGCCAGTAAAACCAGTCATGATAAACAAGATATATGCTGTGTTTATTCCTCAACAGTGTCGTCACGTTTACTGTCTAAGGACAGCGCAGCGAGACCTCTCTGCTTATGAGCAAAAAACAAAACAAAAAACAGAGGACGTTTTAGGAGTGAGGGCGAGAGAGAGAGAGCGAGAGACAGCAGAAAAAGAGAGAGAGAGTTTTGAGATGTGAGAGATTTGTGACGTTTAGCGTGTTTGCAGTGTGTAGTTAATGTGCTGTCTTGTGTAGTTAGTGTGTAGTGTTGTGGATAGTTTTGTGTTGAGGCGACTGCTGTCTCCAGGTAGAAACAGCAGTGACACACCTGCTGCTGTCAGACCTGCAGGTATCAGGCTGTGATGTTTCCTTTATAGTGGACAGAAATGATGTTTTTGCAGTGGCACAAATAATTTGTGGCATCTTATTGAAGAACAGCTGATTGTTCTGTGAATAGTTTGAAATGGTTATTTAAAAAATCAAGGTAAAAGGTAAATGGATGCAAATAACTTTGTTGTTTGCAAAACTTGTGCATAGGATTTTAAAATTGACAATTTATATTTGCATTTGAAGTTATGAAATATGATTCATTAAACATGTTTGTGGTTGTTACAGTAAAAATATCACTTTTTCTCCTCGGATTTTATGGTTTTTGTCTGATTTTAGATCAATTGTGTTAATACAGTCTGTAAAAAATGAAAACATGACTGTAGATTCAGACACGTGAGGTTGTGCTGAAAAGGATGAGACCAAACAAGTAAACAGTTTTTAAAGGTGAGATGTGGAGGAAACATCAAAAGTAGTTAAAAATGGCCGATTATACCCTGGACCCCAGAGGGTTAAACTTTTTTTTTAAAGTAACGCAATAGTTACTTTTCAAGTAATTAATTACTTTTAGAATCTTGTAACTCAGTTACTAACTCAGTTACTTTTTTGAAGAAGTAACTAGTAACTATAATTAACTACTTTTTCAAAGTAAATTGCCCAACACTGGTCATTATTAATTAATTTGAAAAGTCTGCCTCTATTGCACTTTGCTGCATTTTGCCTCAACACACCAACAATAAATGATTCATGAATCTGAAAACAAAGCAAGCTGCAGACCATTGTGAGCCTCAGAGCATCGCTGTTAAAACATCTCTTATGTAGTAGAACATTCTTTGTTCACTCAACCAGAATCAGGCGGCATCAAAGGCTGTTTTCTGTTTTTTTAAAGTTCATCTGTCATGTGGTTGACCACACAGATCCTCACATTTACTAGATATACAAATGAGGACAGATCTATTAGCCACCCTACAAAATTAAAGTTGTTTTTTTTCCAAGAGCAAGGGATTTTCACTATATAATTTCTAAACACTATAGCATTTAGAATAAATAACCATTAAAAAAAACCCTCTAAAAATAGCAACTATAGAATTTACAGGGTTTGCAAAGGTGTGCAAGGTTGCTCTGAAGTATTGCAGAAAAAGCAAAAAAGACCAGGGTCGATATTATTACCACCCTGAAAAACTGACGTTTTTATTGAGCCACAGCACAAACCCCTGCTGTACAATGATGTGCTTTAACTTTGTGATGCTCAAAGCTTGTAAAGTCAAGTTAAAATTGAAGATCATGTTCTATTTAAGAACTTCAGCCAGAGCTGTCACTTGATAAGGCATCATGGCAATAACTAAATAAATCAGTTTAGACTTAGAAAAATAATTGTTGGTGTTCACAAAGCAGGAGATGGATATATAAATCTATTACAGTGTTTCCAAGTGTCAAGAACTGGATTCGGAAGTATCATCAAGAAATTCAAAGAGAGGCACACAGCACAGAACAAGCCTGGCAGAGGTAAGAAGTGAAAGATTTCACACAGTCTGGAAAGAAAACTAGTGAGAGACATCGGAAGGCACCAGAAAAACTGCCAAGACACTCGTGAATGACTTAATTAGGAATATGAGTCTCAAAGAAGACAATCACTCTGCACAGGAATGGAGTGTGAGGCTGCAGACCAATAAAATTTCCACTTCTGTAGAAGAGACACCTTCACGCCACACTGAAGTATACTAAGGACAACTTGGAGAAAGATTATGCATACTGGACATGTACTTTGATCAGATGACATGAAACTAGAGCTCTCTGACTACAGTGAAACACGGTGGTGGGAGTATTATGCTGCGGTACTGTTTCAGTGTGTTTGGAATCTCATAGAGGTGGATGGAATCAGGAAGAAAACAAGAGATGTGAATATTTTGAAAGAAAACTTCAAACAATCGCTCTTTCTTCCAATATGACATTGACCCAAAACACAAGTCGCTTCTGCTAAAGAACTACCTGCACAAAGCTCTGACTGATCCCACTGAAAATCTGTGCGGTGAACTGAACATCAGGGTCCATGCCAGACCACCAAAGATCAAATCTGGAGGAGCTTGAGAGATTTGCAGAGAAGAATTGGCTGGGATTGCTCAGGAGATGTATGTAAGACTTTCTGAAAACTGCAACAGCAAGCGACAGCAGGCTGTTCTTTATAAAAAAGGATACATAAATGATGTGCTAATAATTCTGACCCTGGTAGTTTTTGGCTTTTGGGAAATAAATTTGTTTCTGTGTGCAAAGTGAAATAACGCCTGGATCCAAAATACAAACTAAGATGTTTGGAAAAGCTGTGTTAAAAATGTCTTCCTCTGTTTAACAGTAATTAGGAAATAATTCATTTTCCTGGAGGGGCTAATGATTTGGTGATGTTATGCAAGACAACATCACCATCGTTCTTTAATACTGGATTGGATTTATATAGCGCTTTTCAAGGCATCCAAAGCACTTTACAATGCCACTATTCATTCACACACTGGTGGAGGCAGCTACAGTTGTAGCCACAGCTGCCCTGGGGCAGACTGACAGAAGCGAGGCTGCCATATCGCGCCATCGGCCCCTCTGGCCAACACCAGTAGGGTAAAGTGTCTTGCCCAAGGACACAACGACCAGGACAGAGAGCCCAGGGATCGAACCGGCAACCTTCCGGTTACAGATGCGATTCCCAACCCCCTGAGCCACGGTCGCCCACTTTAAAACCGATTTTGCAAGTGCAGCATGTTCTTCAACATTTTACACAGTTTTGAACAAATAAAAACTCACGACATAATTAGTGAGATGCTGTTAACGACAACTGATCCCATTAACCTTCAGGCTAATGTGAAATAAAACTTTTAGCAATAGAAAAAAGATTTTTAAAATGCTGATAGTTACCCGAGGCATGGGTTTCATGGGCAAAGGAATCATGTGAATTTAATTAGCCACAACCAGCTGAGATTGTTGAGATTCTTCAGGTTAAAAACAAATAATGAAACACCATCAGAAAATATAACACATATCAGAAACAAAACATGATTAAATGTCAAAGGAAAAAACAGCTGACTGACTGGATGTGTGAATACATAAAAGCTGTTGTCATGAATCCTTTTTCTTTAACTGTCACTCTAAAGACTCTAAAGACTGTCATCATTGTTAAAGAACTCTGAGAGTTAGCATGAGTATTTTGTTTAGCAGGACAAAAATAACTCAATTAAATACAAAATCCAGTTTTTCATGATTGAATTTATCGGCCAAACCTTCCTGTTGTTAAATCATGAATTAACTGTTTTTTGCCGTTGACTATGCCGGGCCTTTTGAAAGAATAGAACCAGTTTGACAAAGTGAAACAGAAGAGCTCAAAAAGAAACACAATGTGCCACAAACTAATGAAACAGCTGACACACAAGTATCAGTCTAAAAAGAGTTACAAAACCATTTTTAAGGCTTTGTGACTCCAGCAAACGAGACTCATTATCCACAAATGGAGAAAACTTGAAACAGTGGTGAATCTTCTCAAGAGGGTCTAGCCTCCCAAAAAAAAATCCAAGAGCCTGCTGGGAACTGATCTAGGAGGTCACAAAAGAAATCAGAACAGAATCTAAAGAACTGCAGGGCTCATTTACCGCAGTTCAGGTCAGTGTCCATGACTCAACAATAGGAAAGAGACTGGGAGAAACTGGCAACCATGGAAGCAAAAATCTGCTGATCCAGAACAACACAAAAGCTTATCTCACATTTGCTACAAAACATTCTGATCATTAAAAATGAAAAGAAACCCAGCATTTCATAAAAAGAACATCATACCAACAGTCAAACACGGCGGTGGTAGTGTGATGGTCTAATGCCGTTTGGCTGATTCAGGACCTGGGTGTACGTACAGTGGAGTTCTGCTCTCTACCAAAAATCCTGCCCATCCATCATTTCATGCCCTGAAGCTCAAACTCACTTGGTTTATGGAGCAAGACAACGATCCAGACACACACAGCAAGTCTACCTTTGAACAATTCAGTAATAAAAACAAAATGAAGGTTTTTCTGCAAAAATTCTGCAAAGAAGAGTGGGCCACAGTTCCTTATTGCTGTTGATCCCAAACAGGTTTCAGTTCTTTCTGCCAAGTGAAGCACAACTAGTTGTCAGGTTTAGGGTGTAATGACTTTTTCACATAGGGTTTGGATAGCTTTTTCCCTTAAACTCAAAGATTAAAAACGGTGCTTTGTATTTACTCAGGTTCAGGTTTAATATTCAAATTTGTTTGATGATCTGAAACAATTAAGTGTGATAAATATGCAAAAAAATAAAATAAAATAAAATAAAATAAAATAAAATAAGAAAGGATAGGGGTAAATAGTTTTTTCACGGTACTGTATATCTGTGGTGCCATAAGTAAGTAAGATGTACTCCACCATTCCAGCCCTTCATCTTACTGTGCCATGTTGTATTGTAAGTGAATCTTTCATCATGTTTGAGCGCTCACCCGAAACCCAGAAACAACTGAGAAATGGAGACTGGGTCAGTTATTTCATCAAGTGCCACTCTGCGAGGCTGGAGGGCCTGCTGGATACTGATGTTGTAAACACAGAGGCATTAGTGGATGACGGGTTTCCAGGCATACGGGAATATTTTATAGCTTCGAATGTTCATCACTAAACACTAATCTCATTTATGGGTAAAATGCCCAAATACATTTGGGTCTAAAAAATCAACTTCTCATTTGCAGTGAACAAAAGAGCTTTGTAAAGATAATACTTCCTGCAGATTAATATCTTTTGCTATCAAGATTCTTGTTGGGAGTCCTCTGATGTTTACATAACGCTGACTACTGATAAATTCGGTGTAATAACAAAAACACAAGATTTCCTCTTCATGGTGCATTTTTCCTGAGCTGCTTCATTATAATCCATTTTAGAATTTGTCCAACCCCATCTCCTACAAATTAAGTTTCTTCACAGTTAAATTGTTAAATTTAGCTGCAAGATAATCACTTGCTGGATTACCTTTGGAAATTAAGCAGCACATTTATGAAATATATCGGAGTCAGCAGGAGGTGGTTGGGTTTGATTGTGGATGTGCCGAATATGTATGCTCATATCTCACACCAAGACTGGGGTTTGTGCAGCAGGAGCACTTAAAGTGAGGGAAAGCTCGAGCTTGAAGTTCTTTCTGTGATAAAACCCTAATATTTGTCCAAACTTTAGTTGATTGGTGTGAGTGCATACATAAATAATGCAAATAATGCATGCATAAATAGGTTGAATGAAAGCAGTTTAATATATGTCTGGTACATTCAGTATCAACATTACATTAATAGACAATAATTCAGGACCATGGCGCTGTAGTATAGTTGTGGAACAACACAAGATTCCATTTTTTATTTACTGCGATGAAGACGTTCCCTTTTCTGTCTGGAATAGTTCAGATTTTTGTTTCTTGCACCTTTAAGGTTTACCTGAGAAGCAAACATTTAATTACTTTTGAATTGATTGTGTTCAGAATATAACCCCACGCAATCCATCATATTCAGAATGTTTCTGAATTCATCACAAAAATATAACAGACAGAGGCAGTGTATGTAATAAATTAGTCTGCTGAAACAGCACAGAAAACGGGCAGTGGGAGAAAGGCTTCACTTTGCTTCCATGCATTTCTAGTCAGTATTCTGGCTACCAGTACACAGAAACGCTGCCAAGAGAATACTGATGGCTTCTATGCCTTGGCCCGTAAATCAGGGTTTACCTGGTTGTGTATCAATTCTTAGATTTTTCAGTTTACTGCAGCACACAGGGGGCTTGGTCATATGTAGCACCTGCATTGAACAAAGTCTCTTTCAAATAACCTCTTGCTAACTCTAGCATCTCTCCTCCTGATACTGACTGCTCCTCCGTGTGGCCTGACTGTCAGCACTCATCTTCATAAATGTGCTCATCTGCTAATGCAGTGTTCACTTTTTTCTTTCAGAGTCGATTAAAGCAATCTGAACTTTAGTGCTCTGCCTGAGATGCATGACAAAGAAAACATATGATGAGTTCAAATCCATACTAAGGCATTTTAGCCAACATTCAAAACAGGTGCACATCAGGCAGCGGCACTACGCAAGCGCACGCAAAAGATACCCAAACACCAATAAAGTGACACCTACCGTCGACGCAGGACGGCATGGCCCGAGTAGTGCCGGCGACCTGTCCAGGGAAGCAGGAACATTTGACAGTCTGAGATCTCTCCTCGATCTTGTTCTTGTTGCAGCAGCGATGGGCAGCAATCACCTCACACGTCCCCGCCTTCACATGCACTGAGAATGAAAAACAAAGATTTTGCTTTATGTTTGCTAACTTTAACGCATAAGCAACCACAGAAAAAGACAAGGAAATACAACTGGCCATCACAATTGGTCTGCCCTTCCCCTTAATGACCTCTTTGTAAACTATGTTGGGGAACAAGGACATCATTCTCTGACCCAGACAAACACAGACCATTACAAGATATTAAAAAAATACCAGCACTGAGAATACCTTCTTGGATCTCTGACCTTGTAGGACAAGTTAAGTATTTGATCCGTGCATCCATTTAAAAATTAAGCAAAACATATTTAAAGATGAGCCATAAAATATGGAGTTTATGCTTAGATTTATGACCATCTCTCTATCCATCTATCTATCTATTAAAATAGTAATTTAGGAAGGAATAATAATGAGTGTTTCTCCATATACTGTTTGGTTGCACTTCCAGTTTGCTGCAGTACTAATGAAGGGTACATTTGGAGAATCCCTTCACATCTCCTGTAACTACCACTTTGTGTGCAAATTTCTATACACACATTTGAATCAGTCAGCCGTGTGGTTAATTAACAAGTCAACCCCGAGCACAGAAGTCCCTTGAGTCAGCTAAGAGAGAGGGAACAAAGAAATCGCTCCACATTTGAAGATTTGTGATGCCAACACATGGCCCTTTCATACCAGCCTTTCATCAAATACATGAAAATGTCAAGGACAAACAATAAGCCTTGTCAGGAGCACTGTGTGCAACTATGCAGTGCGACTGTTTGTGTGCATGTTTGACAGCTTACACACAATATGTAATTACAGTGAATCTGCTCATGTGTTCAGATGCGTTCGACTTTGTTTTTCACGTGTGCGTGATGTGCAGCAAATGCACATACATGTTCAGTCTTTCAGCTGTGAGCTTCGGTGTGTGTGTGTGTTTTGGCTTTTCAAACAGTTGTTGGAAGTTGCAGTTATTTCCATTACAAAGAGTCAGCCCAGGGTGCAACAAAGGGTGCGCACTGCATGGCAATGAAAACTAAAGCAGAAAACAATGACTTTGTTTAAAGAGCATTTAAAAATGAGGCAAGTTGCAGTGAACGACCCAGTGAATATGTTAAGCAGGCTAACAAATATTTGAAAAGTTCTTAATTTGCTCTGTTGATGAGAAAAAGACAAAGCAGCAGTCCTGCAAAGCCCATTCCAATTAATATCTCTGTGAAAAGCGCACTCTGTCTCTCTCCCATCTCTCTCTCATCTTTCTTTCAGATTTCTCTTTTTGTAGCACTAGGAGTTAGGCCAAAGGGTAAAGATAATTGTTGACTGATCTGTCCATCTGGCTGTCCATCAGTCCAACACTTTGATGTGCAAAACCAGCCACCGAACAGATTGCACTGATATTTCGATTCCTATAGAAGAAATATCTGCATGCATTTGGAGAGTTTTCAAAAAAAAAAAAAATTCTTCTGTAGAAATTAATTATAATTCAGTCTCAAGTCAAATATTAAACTACTGTAGTTACTGGTTGGAATGCTGAGTAACAGATGGACATTCAGGCACCTCGAAGGACAATTCGCTTGACCTTCCCTCTGTTGACTCACACAGTGTGCGCATAAGCCCACTGGGTCTTGGTGTATTTTGGGTATAACATGACCCCCTCATCAGCAACCGACTTTGGATTGTGTTAGACTGCATGTAAGACAATTAATGGTGTGTTTGCTTTAAACCTTTTCTTCACAGTACTGGGCAACAGTCTTGAGCAGTAACATTTTAGAGATTCTTTTTATTTAGTTTAAAATGCTGTATTTCCATTTACGCTTGCACATTTCACTAAATCGCTTCGACTGTTTCCCATTTTCCTTGCAAAATATAAAGAAATGAGGGTTGACAAAAGACATTTGCACAATGCAGTCAAGTTCTCCAGAACACAAATTATATGGACTTTCATGATGATGTGCATTCTCCTCATCAAATATGAACTATTTTATAATTATACATCCTAAAATGTTACATTATATATCCTATAACAACTGCATAATGTTCATAATCATTTCATTATCTTTCCTATACAACAGTTTCTTCCCCTAACTCAGAATACATGGAGTGTGTATAGATTGCATGTGGGCTTTAGAGCTTTCTTTGAATAACTCTTATTTTCCATTTTCCCTTCTCCTTCTTGTAGAACTAATTGTTTTTTCTTCTTCTTAGAAGCTTGACAGATACAAAGCCAAGGAAAATGAACACATACAGAGTAAACACCTTAACTGAACCCCCCACAGGCGCACACAACCCTTGGCCCATTTTTAGGCTCGGCACCTGCAGTAGTAATTGACTCAGCATTAGTAAGAGCAGCCACACACAGAGCTCAGCAGGAGGGGAGTAAAAGGAGGTCGGGATGTGGATTCTACCGAAGGAATGTAAAGGTTCACTGGGTCTTGAACACACATATTAATGTTAATTAATTCAATTAATTTTGTTATTATTATAATTTGAGACACATGGTAAAATAAAGATTGACGTAAAACCTACGACAGAAGTGATTTTTTCTTTTTCTGGCAGGCCATTTCTTTATTTTCTTCATTCTTTGCCTTGTAGCTAAACTGCTGTGTTTTATGTGTTACTTTATTTGAGTCATGCTTTCATTAATGTTTTTATAGTTTTAAAATTACTGATTATTTATTGAACACACAGAAAGCGTCAAAGGTGAAAACATAAGAAGTGACTCTCCCTGATCGAATAGTTTGGTTATTAGAACTGTTTTGATTGAAGTTATTTGTGGTTTAAACAGAAACGGTGGTAGTAACACTGCTGAAAAAAAGTTAAAGACCTTCTGGGAATAACTTGTTTATTTGACATCATTTTGAGGATGCTTTATTGTAAGTCCTGATTTCATATTTAATAACATGGGCAGCATTCGTCTTTATTTATCTCGCACTGTGAAATCCTAAAATAGGATTTTGATCCCAGTCACACAGGGCTTGAGACTGATTGGTGACCATCTGCCAACCGCCATTTAGAGGAACAGCTGGTGAGTGATTGCTAGAGGTTGCTGGCAGTTGCTGTGAGATCAATTGCTAAACCACAGAAAAGCCACAAGGAAAAAGCAGTAATCCTGGAAGGTACTGACTCGTCTGCAAACAGTCGCTTACCAACCACCAAGTTCGGGAGGTAGAGTGGGTCGTCCAATCATTCTCAACTCCAGTCTGCATGGTGAAGTAGCCTGTTGCATGAATATGTGAGTAAACGAGGATTGTAATAAAAAGCACTTTGAGTGCTCAGTTGGAGTCTATTTAGCATAACTGAAACTTGGAGAAAGAATGATAATGTTGCCCTTCCAAGTAAAAGATGAAACTAACATTTTAAAAAGGCACCACATCTACTTTAAAAGCAAACAGTCACCATGTTAGGTTTGTGTTTACTTTTCATAGTTCCACTGCTGCTCAGAGAGTTCTGGGCAAGTGTTTGGAGACGGGTTTTTGTCTTTCCTGCAGCCTTCGGGCAACTGTGGCATTCTTCAAGCGACTAGTTGCAAGGAGGATCAATCATTTGCCAACTGCTTGGAGAATGTGCATTTTCCCTAGCCAAGGTGGGGCCTTACCTTATACTAAAACTTTTTGTTTCAATTCAGTTCAATTTAAATTCAAATTTATGTTAATAGCGACAAATCACAATAATTGTCACCTCAGAGAAACCCGAAACAATCATACAACCCCCTATGAGCAAGCACTTGTGGAAGAGAACGAGAGATTAATAATAACTACTGATTGAATCCAAGGTGGTGTATAAACACAGGGAGAGTTAAAATGATGAAGAAAATAGCCCCTGGCAGTCTAGGCCTATTGCAGCATAACTAAGAGAGGCTCCTAGACAACTGATCCAACTGGAACTCGTAGCTTCATCAAAAGGGAAAGTTGTACTCTTAAATACCCCAAGAACCACAAGTAATCCAGCAATCTGAGAATGAAGTGCTCTACTTTTATGATTAGGCTTAAAACGTTCCTTTTTCCTGAAGCATATAGTTAGGACTGGGTCAGGTGACCCTGAGTCCTGCCTTAGTTATACTGAAAAGGGTGTAGGCTGCTCGGGATTCCCATGATGCACTGAGTATTTCTTCTTCAGTCACCTTTCTCACTCACTATGTGTTAACAGACCTCTCTGCACTGAATCATACTTGTTATTAATCTCTCACTTTCGTCCACAGCATGTCTTTATCCTATCTTCTCTCACCCCAACCAATCACAGCAGATGGCCCCGCCCCTCCCTGAGCCTGGTTTCTTCCTGTTAAAAGGGAGTTTTTCCTTCCCACTGTTGCCAAAGTGCTGCTCATAGGGGGTCATATGATTGTTGGGTTTTTTTTCTCTGTATGTATTATTGTAGGGTCTAAAGCACCTTGATGCAACTGTTGTTGTGATTTGGCGCTATATAAATAAAACTGAATTGGATTGAATTGAATGGAGCCTGATTATTTAAAACCTTACATGCAAGAAGAAGGACTTTAAATTAAATTCTGGATTTAACAGTGACTATCAACATATGCTGCTGAATACTTTTAAGGATTGTTTTAGGTAGTTGAATGTATTTGTTTCATAGCAGTCTGCTTTGCAGTAGAGAAAGAATGTGCATTTAATTAGCCGTTGTGGTTTGGTAATTCCCTTCAGTAGCCTGTGATATTGAACTTGGTGGGGTGTTTGGTTTGGGTGTTGAAAAGTAAAGTGGACAAAGACAGGAAGCATGCACTCCGTGTTTGCTTGGGACTCTTCTGTGGAGGACCACACACACAGAGGAAAATTGCATTTTCCTAAATTTCTTTCAGTGCACACAGCTGCTGTTGATGGTGGATATGTTGTTGGCAGAACTGCTCTTTTTGGTTAGCTTGCTGCACCTGCAGGCTTTACAGTGTTGAGAACTTTTTTTCTCAAATAAAAAGAGGGCACAATTCATAGAACTGGATTTCATAGGGATTTAGTACTCGCATGTGGAAACATCTCTGGAAAACCATATGTGGGTGGGGGTGGGGTGGGGGTCCTTAGCT